TTGTGAATTTAAAATCTGTGAATATAGAATTTTAACTGAAGCAACTCTTATCTGTGTGTAATAGCAAATCTTTTTATTTAACAACCTCGAGACACAGCAGAAACCAACACCGACAAAAAATTAAGCCCCATTTTAAACCTTATAAGTCTCATTATAACCCGTTTTATTTTATTTATTTATTGATTTATTTATTATTATTGCGTGACCATTCATACAGCATATGACATAAGGAAAATACACAGAAAGAACCAGCACTGTGAGCCTTATCCAAATGAGCCCGCATTGACTTTAGCACCTGAAGAACTCTGTAATTTGTCCCTCATCCCTTTGTCAAACTGAATAACTTGAGTAACACTGGTAAAAGTTCAGGGACTTTAAGTTGTATTTCCTATTTAAAGGTTCCCTAATGAGAAAGATAACTCAAAGGAATAAATGTTACCTAAAATTCTCTTCTTGTATAAGTGACTATTTTTAGAACATTGTCAGGAAATAAAAGCCCATGCTGAAATTAATCTCTGTGTGAATAATTGACATCTGTGTGAATAATCAACATTTGTGAAATAATCTATATAATTTAGTACAATAAGTTTACCTGATTTTTCATGTTATCATAAGATGATACAAAACTTTTCATTTACTAAACACAAATATATAAAATACAAGGCCTTTGTGCAGTTAAGGGGTGAGAAGACATTAAATGTATGTGTCTTTATTGTGTTATATGATATCATCAAACCTACTCAATTAAGGTACAGGCCCTGTTAGAGAAATTCATAATTATGTTCATGTACATTGGATACGGCTTCCACATGAACGAAAAGCCTGACCTTCTTTTATTTTCTTTATGTATAATTTTAACTAAACCAAAAAATTTACACAGAAAATATAAGCGAAACATGCCTTTGACCCCATCTCACTTACATGTAATCTGAACCCTTTGATATATATAAACCAGCAAAATATTAGCTAGCCTTGCTAGATATCTACATGTAGTTAATCAAATTAAAATTTGGGGAACCCTGTCTATATCAACTAGTGAACCATTGAGGTCCTAAATTACTATGCACACATTGTTATTGTTCTGGTTGAGTCTGAAGTTGTCCCCCTTGTCAAGCCCCCTAAGAGAAGAGATATCTGAATAGGTGAGGATGCTGCTGGTCCTAATATAACTATTATGTAGATTTGACAGACAATGTACAATTCAACTCAGGTGCATGGAACCTATGCCCCCTAGATTTTACAGCCTGAATTGTTCATTGTAATGCTTCTATCCAACGTAATTTTTGACTCGAAATCTATTTAGTCATCATTCATATTTACTTACCTTGAGTTTTGTCATAGCATGTGTACAACTGTAAATATGTATAAACAAATACACCTCTTATATGTACTTGATGCTTAATTCATATACATAAAATGCATTATTGTAATATAACATTCAAAAGCACCACAACTTGTTCTGTATTTTATTTAGAACTATTTTATTTCACAATTGATTACGGCCTTTGTCGCAATTCCATATCTTTCATGCCTCTCTTTGGCCCCTTGTTAAAGCTGAATGGCCTTGATTGAAAATTTATATACTTTAATTAGAGTTCTGTTCTTTGTAAATCTAGCTAAATAACATTTTTAAAGACATGATGCAATAGATTTATCAAACTTTTATGAATTCTCAATCTGTATTTTTTCTATTTATTCAGTTTTAAGGAAAAAGGTAGTATGGTGCAGCTAGGGTAGCCCTGTCCTTGAACATTTATTTTATTTAATTATTTATTTATTTATCAAAATATCACAAAATATTTTAAATAAACTGATAAAATGCAACAGATAGGCCAAGGGAACTAGTATCTAAATATAAGCTACCATGACAACTTCCATACACAATGTGTATGGAAGTTTGACCATTGACCTTGAATAACATGGACCGAATAAAGTTGAAGTTCATAGCTATTTTTACATTAGCTCATTTTGTTTAAATAATATTTCACTAAGTACGCTTTTCTTCATTCAAAATCTGCTGATGAAGTTGGTTATTCTTACCATACTGTTACCTCTTGTACCATGTGCCCTAGTTTAAAGTATGGATGGGTGGCAAATCGATCTGTTTCAATCCAATGAAATATTTGCCATCGAGCAAAATCAATGTTATAAGATAACCCATGTTAATTCTTTGACTGAAACTTAACTTTAAAAACTGGAAATATGATAAAGTATTTCATAATCCACAAAAATAAATCGGATACTTTCATCACCCACCTTTCACTTTCATTGATGCATGGAAAAGGGGAGATAACCCGTAAACCTAGTGACTAAGTACCGACACTGTATGAATGGATAAATAAATTCCGGCTTATCTCATTTATTAGTTTTTTTCACAAAAAGGAGATGAATGATGACATATAATATTGAGGATAGAGCTTTGATAACGACGCATATTGTGAGATGAAATCAAATATGCGGTATTATAAACATTTAGGACAGGACTTTATTGGAAACAATTTTAATGAAAAAAATACATTTATACCTTTCTGAACATTAGCTCACGTTTGGTATGCATGGTGACAGAGCACTTTGAGTGGTTTTGCTGATTAATACAGGCACATAAAGGGGGTGGGGGCATCTTTTACACGTAAACTTTTCCAATGGAAAATGTACATTGAAGGTTGACCGATTCTTCACCATCAATTAATTTTTCATCTAACTTTTCCTAAATTTACCAGTTACATGTAACAAATTTACTGCAAACTTAATGATTTTATTTTAATAGCCTAAGCTTGATTGTACCCTTTATTTCGTTGAGCATATCAAAATTGAGTAATTGATATTGTATTCCAATGCCAATTGTGAACGTAAGTTGGAACCTTCCTCTACCACCACTCCTACGGAATAAGATTCTCGAATATCGACACCCCCTCTTTTTAAAAACGATACTAAATGCCTGTATTAAGCCGGAAAAAAAATATTTTTGGTCCTCGGGGGAATCAATTCTGCTTCTAGATTTCTTCCAAATGGTCATGGCCTGAGCAAATCATGATATATAGGTCTAAATTATGGCTCGTACACACAGGCACCAAACTCGCTTGAATTTTTGACCCCCTAGTATATTATAAAGAGTTATAATATACTAGGGGGTCAAAAATTCAAGCGAGTTTGGTGCCTGTGCTCGTACATATATATAGTGGACTCTTCATTCTGTACAGAAGGTTTTGTAGCAACTTAGATTATAATGTTTTGTACTTAGATAGGGACTTATGGACATCATGATAGCTTTTTTAAATATAGGCCTATAATTACACAAACGATTTTTATTTGCTGCACCATTGAGAGCTTGTATGTAGTTTTAGACCAATATGTATAAATAATTAACATATTTATACATTCACCTAAACATTCTATCATAATATTTTATTTTTTTCACCTTCATGAATCTTTAGCCCAGTCATCTAAATTAAAAGGTTTTAATAAGATATCAAGCAAATGTAATTCCATTGTCCATTTCATATTATCAAAGAAAACAATTAATTTTGAACTTTATATGCACAAAATGTTAAGCAACCACAAGAAGTTTTGTTCGAAATTATTTATTAGAAAGGAGAAAGTTATTATAATGCATTAAGGATTATCGAGGTAAACTGTATTTTCAAACCCTTTTCTTTAAACGAATTCAAAATTTAACTTCTTAATGGAGTAATTACATTGTAATATAGTAAAAACATCTCAGCATTACCAGTATTACAACTGAAAGAATAATCTTGAGAATATTTTCATGCTTGCAGTAATCATATTACAATTCAAACAAATCTTGGGAACATTTACATAGACGTACATTATTATACTTCTAAATGGGAAAATAAATCTTCAAAAACGTTTAAATCCTGTAGGAAATTCAGTGTTCATGAGAATTTTCATTGAAAGATGAATAAGTTAAAGATTGCACTTAATATATAACGAACTAGTTAAATACAAGTAAATTAATGCTCGTTGTTTAACGGTGTTGTACTTTTATCGCCAACTAGATACATGTTCATTTCAGTTCACTACATCCACCCAAACCAAAATTTTGGTTAATGGGGTACATTAATAACACATATTCATTTCAAACAAACAGGTCAGAGATGCAAAAACTACATACAAACAATACAAACTATGGTACATATGTACACTATATACATTGTCGGGCGACTTCATGCATACCGCATATTAATTCTTCAAACTCCAATTTACTAATCTATTTATTTGCTAAAACACGACAGAGAATATAACCACTCACAGAGTACCGACGAAAAAGATAATGAAAATTTCAACAATTCAGTAGGTTTATAGTATCCTTTCGAAAAGTCCGCGCTTTTGAAAATAGTTCGCGTAAAGTTACTATATTGCGATTATACCCTAATAAGATAAATATCTTATTCGTCTTTCAATTTAATTCTACAACAAATTGTGGATTAACATTTCCAAAGACTGGGATGTCAAAAATATGTGTGCAAGTATTTCGTCTCTCACTGTGACTATTTTGTTGATCTGAAGCATCGATCTTCTATGACGTTGTTTGGTGTTTTGTTAACTTTCTTTCTGTGGAGCTAGTTATAGTAAAAAAGGCGATCATGGAAAGTATTTTTGTCATAATTTTTTTTAAAAAGATGGATATGATTGATTCGAGTAAAATGGGTTATCTTTAACGCAATTGTTAACTGTACAGCTATTCCGCAATCTCATAGACGAAAAAATCTGATTTTGCAAAATGCTCAACACTTTAATTGTAACCCTATTGTTAACTACATTTCTGTATTATTAAAACATGTATATCATCTTATTAAATGAACTTTATATTCAATGAGTCAGAAAAATTTTACCATGCATTTCCTTTTTTGAAGAGTATATGTAGATCCATCTTCCAAAAACATTTAATCGGCTTCAAATTCAGATTAGGATGAAATAAATGATTTGACTTATTTATCATGCTTTTATTGATTATGAAATAACACTTGTCATATTCACAGGTAACTCCCATAATCAAAAACGGACAAAAGGGCCAACAGAAAAAATGATACTCTCAACTAAATGGAATTCTGCACCAGAGGTGAACCGAAATTCTAATAATAATTTCAGAGATCCAATGCACTTGCTACTATTGATCATTGCCTGCATTAACATTATTTACGTACTAATAAAATCTGCGAAATATTTTCGAGGAAAATTCAAGAGACTGATCTGTCTATATACACATCAGAGCAAAAAAGAATATGGCAAAGAACTTTATGTGGGTGTTTTAGAGACGCCCCTCCAAAATGACAATTATGATGTTATACAAAACGAGCTGGTATTCGAAGGCACGACTCACACTAAGTTAAAGTTTCAGCAGGCGACTCAAAACGTTGTCATAGAAACGCATTCTGAAGCCAAAGGACCACCTAATATTCCGAAAAAAGGTACCAATATTAAGAAGAAAAAAATAATGACGTGAATAAACATAAAATTTGGAGTGATAACAATTAACTTAAAGAGCGACATTTTGCAGAAACTTTGCATGTTGAATGAGTTTTGTTTATTACACTACAATACTTTTTATGCTCGAAAGAATAATTATATATTTAGCTCTATTTATTAAAGCATATGTACGTTTTTCAGACGTCTATATGTCTACTCGTCTGTAAACATTTTATATTTTTAAACAACTTTGAGGCTTTGTCAAAATTTTTTTGTCAGCAAGTACAGTTTATCATTGAGTCAAATGCTTGCTGACATTTTTTGATTAATTTAGTCCACTATTTATACACTGAATTGACGACGGATTTTTTTTTTCGTGATTTCCTAATCATGAGCACACGACAGGTGTGGTCCGCCGGTACCTAATCCCACCTCTAATGTTTTGGAGGTCCGTGTTTGCTCGGCTCCTATTATATTGTTTTATGGATTTTTGATCTTAAATACTGTACGTTATCTCCATATCGAGCTAATAAAGAGGCTATGCCGTCAAAACATGACTTGATAGCAGGTATGTTCTTGCACCTCAAAGAAGGTGTCTCCAAGACAATAGAAAATATAAGAAAATAAAAAAAAATCCATTCCAAATTGAAAATTATATAAAGCAAACGGAAAGTTATAGAATACAAATAAAGTTATGCAATATAAATGGGAAAGATTGAATATTGCAACATTTCATTTGCCTTAGATATTGTTACCCATACAGTTACGTATTTATTGTTCTTGAACTTCTGGTTTTTTGCCGTCACAAAGACCAAATGATGTAAATATTGCATTAGACTTAGTGTAAGTTTAGTCTTTCTTGTGAACACAATTATTTTGATTGCTTTAATAGGACTTTTCTTAAACTTAAGTATTCTTAACAAATAACACGACTGACAACTATAATTTCTTTAAATATTATATGCGAAAATAGCATAAACGTTTTCACTATATTAATTTAAAATTTTTACTGTAGTAAATAAAACTATTTTAATCATGGATTTCACATTGTTATATTTTATCCCAGGTAGTAAAAAATCAAGTTTGTTCAAAAAGTGACCCACAGGGACCGCAAAGGAATACAAGGGAAAAATCAATGATTATTTCATAAGATGTATAGATCTGAAATACCTTTATTAGGTGTTGTAAAGTTTATTCAAATTATGACACCCAGGGGTAGGGTGGTACCACAATGAGAGGTCATTTTTTACATAACAAATACGTAGGAAATTAAAAAGAAATATATAATTCTTTAAAAGAACCCATATATAGAATTATCCCAAGTATTGTAGATTTACATATTTTAATTTGTAACCTTCGTCTGTCCCTTGCTATTATTTCGAAAAGCAGAATAAACATCATAATTCTCTACAGGACACATCAGTGAACTTGAATAAAAAATGGGCACAAATATAGTACTTTTTTTAAAAACAAAATTTAATTTCAATATTCCATTGATTTTCAGTTAATGTTACAGAAGTTAATGCTTGATCAAGCCCTATAATTTTTTTAAAATAAAGCGAAATTTGACCATTTCGTTTTTCTGATGTTCAGCATAGAGAGCTTACGTATGATTCATGAAGTCTCTCATGAATCCGTAATTAAGTTAAAATTTGGAGAAAAATCACATCGTTCCGGAAATTAATCCTCACAGAATTTCTTTCCCAGCAATAAAGTTTAAATTCTCAGCAATAGTTAGAATCAAAGGTTGTTTTAGGATATTCCAAAAAAGTATGAAGCATTTCACTTCCAACATATTAAAAAATATTTGCTGTTTGATTGGGCAAAAAATACCTACGTTTATATGAAGTTTATTTTCAGTAATCATTCTGGACTTCCATATTTGAAAATTCATAGTTAAGATATTCCAACGGTAAATTTGTAAGTGACATAAAAAATCTAAATTTGGCATTTTTTTTTGTAGAAGCACTGTTATGTACATACATGTAACCATGCGTTTTCTCTTTCTAAATTGTGTATTTTCTAGATTACTATCTCTTATGATTTGCGGGAACGTATACAGCGAACCACTATAATAAACACGATGATAACCAAGATGGAAAAAAGTACCCATGTAGCAGCGACATAGGGATTGTCTTCTTCGCTTTCCCTAATTAAAATAAGAAGATATATAATAATTAAAATAAGGCATTAAATTAATGTAGTCACATATTGCTAGAAAGATTTTTAAAAACGGAAAAGACAAAACCAGAAGTCTCTGTTGAGACTGTAGCTCTACTGGTTTGTAACTTTGTACTTATAATAAAGGAAGAGAAAAGTAGCAGTCGGCACTTTAAACTCTACAAAGCAATAAGGAGAATAGATCCTTACAGAATTTTTGATTTTAGTTACCATGGCAACATCAATCATCAAAATCAAAAACACAAAACTGATAATCTACTTGTAGTCTACTTGCATGCCAAATTATATTATAATGAAACTAAAACTGTATTTGGTGTAGCATTTTAAAAGTATTTCACAGAAATTTCTATTTAAAGTAAGCAAAGCAACACTGTTCATCGACATCAAAAACCGATACACACTAATTATGTATCTTAGTGTTGTCTACTTGTGTGCCAAGTTATATTGAAATCAGACCAAAAATGTAGGCGAAGTGGCATTTTAAAAGCATTTTACAGAAATTTCTATTTTTAGTAACTACGGCAACACCTTTCATCAAAATCAAAAACCGATACATAGAATTATGTTTCTTAGTGTAGTCTACTTGTGTGCCAAGTTATACTGAAATCAGACCAAAGCTGTAGGAGGAGTAGCATTTTGAAAAATTGTTTACAGACAGACAGACGGACAGATAGACGGACGGACGCCGAACACGTTACTATCGCATAAGCTCTTCTGGTTTCTGACCAGTAGAGCTAACTAGCATTAATTATTATTTACCTTATTTTCGAGTCACAGTTACTATTATCATTTGATAATGTAACGTTTGAATGGATAATCCTATAGCATTCTTGATCTAAAACATATGAAAACTAAAATACATGTTTAGAACAAGGTACAGTTTCAATACAAATTAAGCCTTGTATTTTTCAAAAATATGAAAGTGATATATGATATAAAAATTCATTCTTTCTAAATCATAGGAATTCCTTGCAATACATATGAGAATGCACAAATCGTTTCTCTCATATGACCTCCTAAATGGTAAGTGTGACGTCATTAAGTTGCATTTTCCAATATTTTCTTAAAAAGTTGCAGAAGACGTCAATTTTCAGTAGGATTTTTATTCAAAAAACATACTCTGCCACCGTCGTCCACAAAGATTTCGTGATATGTGATTTCTTAAAGCAGTTTACAAAATATATCCAAAAACTGAAGCGGGCGACGGTGGCAGACACTATTTTCTAAAGGAAAATAAGCACAAAAATGAGTCATTCTGAGTCTTTTTTGCAATTAACTTAGAAATGTACCAAGTTAGTGACGTCAGATTTCTAGAATGGTCCTCCTTCATCATGGCTTCATGCCATATTCTTTAATGATTCATCATATTCATCTACTCAACTATTGTGAAATCCAGTTTCCTAACTTTTTAAGAACATTAAATTTTTAGAGCACAATAAAGCCCAAACCGTACCTTCTTCAAATTTATATACATCCGAAAACAAACTTTAAGGTGAGGTTGATCCAAGAACGAGACATGACCTTAAACCAAGGTAATTCCGACTCGTCCAAGGTACGTTACTTGTACAGAAAGTATAAAATTCTAATCAGTTGTAATTAAGAATCATTAGAAGCTCTAACTTTCAAAAAGTCTTTCTGACAAGTTCAAGGTCACCGAAAAAGTATAAAATAATTCTTATATCCTAGCAATGCAGACTAAGTGGAAACTCATGTGTGGTGCAAAATTTGTTTATGACCTGAGGGTGTGTCTTTCGCTAAAAGATTATTAATGACCAGAAAATATGTCGTAATTTAATGAAGGCCTTTAAGCCATTCGAGATTACAGGTATATACAAAATTTTGATGGGCGCCTTAGAGATGCCTATGAAATATTATTATGTGAGCTTACTTAGAATATACCTCTAGTTATACCCCCCGCTTGAAAAGCGGGAGGGTATATAGTAATCGTTAATTCCGTCCGTCCGTCCGTCTGTCCGTCCGTCCGTCTGTTACGCTTTGGGGTTCGGAACTTCCCATCTCTTATCCGCAACTCCTCTTATACTACTGAGTGAAATTTAATGAAATTTTCACAGAATCTTTATTACATATTGCCATTGTGCACCTCCTATTTTACTTTTTTATTCGACAGGTATTTTAGGTTTCCCATGGCAAAACATGGACATTGCCATTATATTCTATATTTATATCCTATGACGTCACCTATAGAAGCTTCTGGATAACATTTGATAAGACGAGTTATTCCTCTTTACACATTACCGTAAAACAATTGCAAAACATCGACATTATGGGAGGCGGGGGGTATCATTTAGTGAGCTCATTGCTCACAGTACCTCTAGTTTTATTTTTAGATATTACTTCAAACTTAATTAAAGTTTTGTAATCTAAAAACAAGTGACAAAACAGATTTTGCAAAAACCTTTTCAAAATAAAACATTCATCAAATTTTTATAAAATAACAATTTCCTGTAACTTTCATACATCTAACTTGTATAGAGAATATAAAATAACAATGTCCTGTAACTTTCATATATCTATCTTTTATTTGACTTGATTGATCAGCATATTCATTGATAAATTGTAAGTTGTCAAACTATTACGATGGAACTAAATGGGAAAATGTGATAGTGTGGATAACTGACTTTGCTTTATAAGTAAAATATACGAGGGGTTAACAAAATGTTCGTGGACTGATGCGATAAAATTAATACTGTGTAGTCTGTGTTTACAAAATTTATTAAGAGCCATAAAACAACAAAAGTTTAAGAAGTGTTGAAAATTGCATTGACACTTGGAGGCTCCCCCCAATTCTATTTTTTTTTTAAATTTGGGGTCGTCACATCGTTTTCTTTTTTTTTTATATGCACTACCTAAAATCTACAACGTAAATCTTTTGTCTCGGTAAGCTGTTTTTAAATATATCGTTTTGGACTGATACATAAAAAGAGAGTATCAGTCGAACAGCTTAGCGATAAAAGGTTCAAATTTGAAGCCCTTCGCCGGTATATGATGACGTCTCTATATGAGTGAAATATTCTCGAATGGGACGTAAAACAACCTACAATCAATCAATCAGTATCTGGTCTGGATGAAATTTCACAAAGATTTTCTTTAATATCTAATGCTTAGTGCTTATAATTAGTTTTAAAAACAAACACATTAAAAAAAAGAATCTTCATAATTTAAGACTTACAGAGGTACGAATCTGAAGATAAGTAACGAAACGGACATGTTGAGCAATTTGTCTTCGAATGTTCCTGTATACGTTCACCTCCAGTATTGTACTCGGCACATTTTTGTCCTACAAAATGCAAGGGGAAAAACAAAACTAGTATCTTTAGAAATTAAATAAAATGCAATTTTTGATTAGAATTTGCATTTTTCTCTACCAAGAATATCGACAGCTGGTGCACAAACTTCAACAGTGGCATTAAGGTATGTGTTGATAACACAGTGGTACACAAACTCCGACTGCTGAACGCAGGTTTGTTGAACATTAGCGCACTTTTTAAAATCTGAAGCAGCATTCCATTCGGCACGTGATCTCGGACAAGAAGGTACATATTCCATTGTCTTCTTGGAATCAGAACATTGTTGGGTTGATGATTTTATCTGTACAATTTGAAACTAGAGTATAGTTTACCATTATATGAACAACAAATAGTATCTTGCAATTTGCATTAGAAAATCAAAATGCCTTACCGAAATGAAAAGGATGAAAACTTCCAGTACGTTTTTCATGTTAGGTTCTTTAATATTGTCTGAAGAATAGAAAAAAATACGTCTTAATCGTTAAAATCGGGATATTCTTAATATGACTCAAAGAAAACTCAAGCGGTCCCAGGAAGCCATCACAAAAGTTAAAATTCAAAAAGTCCTTCATATAGGTGAATAAAAAAACTAGAGGTACTGTGAGCATTGAGCTAACTGAATGATACCCCCGCCTTCCATATGACTAAAATGGCAATGTATACTCTGCTCTTGCTCTGCAAGACCCCAAATAAGTGTTAGATAAAAAAGAAAAATAGGAGGTGCACAATGGCATTTGGAAATAATCATAAAATTTTATTCAGTGGTATAGTAGGAGTTACGTATAAGAGATAGGAACTCCAAAGCGTTACAGACGGACGGACGTTCGGCTAGACAAACGGACATCCCGATCAATATTTACCCTTCCACTTTTCAAGCGGGGGTATAATAAAGATTTCGCTGGTAATTCAGTGGACTTTGAAACATTAAACACTGATAACATTCATTTGGTTATTCAAAATCGACTGCAGAGGAAAGAGGCGAGAGCGCTATGGATTAAAGTGCCATATTCTTCGAAATCTTTATTATACCACCCTTTTAAAAGCGGGAGGGTATCCGGGATGTCCGTCCGTCGTTACGTCCGTACGTCCATCTGTTACGCTTTGGGTACCTGTCTCTTATCCTCAACTCTTTTAATCCAACCGAATGAAATTTAATTAAACTTTCACAGAATCTTTTTTATATAGTGCCATTAAGCACCTCCTTTTTCACTTTTTAATCGGACACATATTTCGGATTTCCCATTGCAAAAAAAATGACACTGCCATTCTTTCTATTATACTGAAAGGTACCCATGTCTTATCCGCAACTCCCCCTATGCCATTGAATAAAATTTAATGATGCTTTCACAGAATATTTATAACATAATGTCATTGTGGACCACCTATTTTACTTTTGATCTGACATTCTCCCATAGCAAAACGTGAACCTTGCCATCTTAAACATATGGGAGGCGGATCTTTAGCGAACTCAGTTCTCACAGTACCTCTATTTTTACTATCTTTGGGTCAGACGTTACTTAAGGAGGCCTATAATATGCATGTAAAACTCGTGTGGCTGATTTTGTGGTTGATCTCAGTGGGCAGGGACAATTGAAATGGACATGGAAGGCCTCCTACAATCTTTTAGTCTACATTTTTAAAATCTTAATTTACTATTTTATTACACCATAAAATTGAAACATAAGGAATCACTGTCTAATTAGTAGAGTATGCCAGGGCCATCAACGATAGTTGGAAACGTGAAATAATGTTAAACATATCTGACTTCGCCCGTTATGCAAATCACCCCACGTTTCCAACTATCGTTGATGTCCTGGTATACTCTACTAACTAGACAGCAATTCCTGAAATATTTCCCTTCAAAAAGCCTCAAACTCGAAAAAGGAAATTCTTTCATATCTATTTAGCATTTCAGTATAATGCTTCCTCAAGCTAAATTTAACAGAAAAACACAATCAAGCATACAGTTCGAAGTATTAATTGATGAACGAGCAAGAGGTGGATAATTTCACATTGCTCGTTCATCCACAAAGGACTTACTGGAAAGCTTTTATCAAACAACATCAATTATATGAATCTTTCTCACAATATTTGCTTTTGCAATTAACATTGATTAAGTGAACATATTTGCAACTGCTTCTGACAATGTAAAATATGCTTAGTTATACAAGTGTTTAAAGTAAGTCGGTTTATATATTGAGTTATGCTTACTGAGTATATGTACACAGATATGCAAGTCATTCACTTAAGAAAAAATATAACCTCGCTGTTTAAATAGGGTATAAGTAAATATCGGTAGCTTGTTGCTTTAGAATTTCTATTTAATAAATGCTTTAAGAGCTAGTCCCTGTATTGTCGAACTCTTATACAGGGGATCTAGCTCTTAAATTCGTAGTCTCCTCAAACCGTAAACACAATTTAGGCAAAAATTGGTCTCTATGTGTCATCATAACCATGACAAAATATCCCAAAGTTTAAAAAAAATGGCATTTTTGAACATATGAGAATTCCAAAGTTAACGTTTTTAGCGAGCAAACAAGTGGCAATGGTTGTTTCCAAAAATTTAAGAAGTTAACTATTGAATTATTGTATCACTATAGAAACAAAGAATGATTAAAAAATTATTGTTTTTAAAAATTCATTTCATAGGTTATCTTTAAAATAATGTTCGCTTGCCCTCTCCCGACTAAGGGTAAAATTTTTGGGTCGGTGGGTAAGTTGGAAAATCTTTTTACCATGAAATTTCAGCATATTTGTTGACGGGATAACAGGAATAAAAAGAAAAAAATGTTACCTAGAATGTGAATTTTTTTTGAGTCGGGTCATTTTTTGTCAGTCAGTCTGAAAGAGCAACCAATTTTTTTTTCAATGGCCTTATTTATCAAATTTTATTGATTTTATTCATTCATTCACTTTTATAAACATAAACAATTCATAAATGAAACATATGGAGATAACGAACAGTATTCAAGATCAAGAGTCCATAAAACAGTACGAAATAGGAGCAGAGCAATTACGAACCTCCATCAAAGGTGGTAATAGGTGCAATGGAGGAGTGAGTATCCCCTGCCGAACGGTCACACCTGCTATATACTCCTTGTCATGATCAGGAAATAACGGAAAAATCCGTCGTCAATACAGTTTATAAATAATTGGACTAACAATTAGTACTAAAAATGTCAATCAGAATTCTCTCAATGATAAATTGTATTTGCTAAAAAAGTCATTGTATCGACCATAGAACTTACGAAGTGCTGACTTTAACAAGATTGTTGATATTCTTGTTTCATCAACTTGTTTGTCAACAATTCACCTCGTTTCAAAAAAAAATATTGTTCATGCCCTTGCGTATCAAATCAACTGAGATATATATACTCTTTATGCAGATGATGAAGGTATATTACTGCACAAGTAAGGGAAGTTTACGATAAAAAAGTTACAGTCATCACGTTTATCATAGAGGTTAGTTGTAAGATTACCATTAACTTATTTTTCAAGTAAAATATCCAAATATGAAACACATATGTCAGACTCTGTGGTATCTATTTCAAGCTCACCAGGATATATCTTATCGACATAAGAATGGAAATAACCATTGTTAATTGACAATACGTCGTCGATATATCATCGTTAGATACCCAAGGTAAAACGTTGTGTATAAAGTTGAAAAGTGGATCGTAAATGTTCAAGATCCCTTTAAAAATAACACTTTACGTTTTATCTATTTATATGATTTTAATAGGTTTGTAAATGATTTAGTAATAAAAATAGCACCTGTAAAATGCAGAAAAATTAACAAATAAAATATAAATAAAAAATACCAGGTACACATCTTCATTTGGTGAATAATAAGTGTACATATTTTAAACAGAGTTTGCAAATTTATTACCTTGACCTTTGACATTTTGACTTCAAAATCAATAGGGTTCTTCTTTAGTCGATAGGGAGTTGCTACGCAAAATGTCATTGCGAAAGCTCAAAGGGTTCTCGAGATATCCTGTAGAAACGAAAGCGTCACAGACATACAGAAAGACGGACAGACGGACGGACAGACCCATATTAATATTCCCCACTTTTCAAGCGGGGGACAAAAAACAAAAAAACAAAATGGATCGGCCGTGATAAGAACCCGGGACCTCTCACATGTCAAGCGAGAGACATACCACCACACCACGGAACCGCTTTTCTCAAGCGGAAATTGTATGCAAACATGAGGTCACTTACATTATTGTCTCCCGCTTGAAAAGTGGGGGATATTAATTTTGGTCTCTCCGTCCGTCCGTCATTAGGCCATAGGGAGTTGCTATACAAAATTTCATAGCGAAAGCTCAAAGGGTTCTTGAGATATCGTTGGGAAACGAAAGCGTCACAGACAGACAGAAAGACGGACGGACGGACAGACCCAAATTAATATCCCCAACTTTCAGTCAAAGCGGGGGACAAAAACAAATAATGTAAGGCAAGTGGTCTAACAAAGCTAGTATTTACACATGGAATGTACATTGTATTTTGCTTGTATATCAAGAAAACACGAAAATGTGGTTTTCCCTCTTGAAATTACCACCAATTACATAAAGTTACTTTAGGTTGATCAAAGGAAAGAATGTAAAAAAAAGTCAGAATGGCAGATCTATAGAGCACAAATAAAAAGAAAGTTTACACAGTTTAAGGAATATACTAAAGTGTTTGATTCGTATTTTAGTTGAAAGTTTCTAATGACTATTTTCTAAAGAGAGAAATTATACTGACCGATAGTAACAATCATGTCGGCAAGGTATTAACTTTCGGTTTCTTATAGGGTGTTCAGTACGGAAGCGTATTAGTGCCACGCAATATATGTTCAAAGTTGGTAATTCTATCTTTGAAATTTGTTTTTAACTTTAAAGTTTGCGATTCCACCCTTAATCTTAATCTTTGCCAACACTTAAGTTGGTAATATCGACTTAAAATTTGGCTTTTCAATTTCAAAGTTGATAAATCTTACTTTAATCTTTGTTTTTCTAACTTCATAGGCTCTATGCGTTATTCAGATACTGTGTGGCTGGAAGATATGTAAAGTTAACTGCTAGTAACTGGTTACTAGTAGCTGGCTACTACAAGTGGGTAAAGTTGGCTACTAGTAGCTGGCTACGAGAAGTAAGTTAAGTTGGCTACTAGTAACTGGCTGCTAATATAACTGATTTTAAATGTAAATAAAACTAGTTACTAGTAACTAGCTACGACATGTGAGTAAAGCCAACTACTAGCAACTTGTTACTAAATACACAAAGGGTACTAGTAGCTTAGTTTATTACTGCAGATATCTTGTTAACGTCAACGCCAGACCATGTGGAGAACCCAAGAATATGTTTTATCAGTAATATAAGAAATATCACCTATTTTAGAAAATCAAGTAACTTTAATAATATCAACATGTGTATCCTAAAATTACATAATATTACGTCAAAGTACTAGTAGATAAGTATATAACTGCCATCGCCTCAAGCCACGATCCGGAGTCCGCATATAAGCTCTCTCCTACCCGTGGCTGCTTGATCACAAAAAGTGCCGTAATCTTGAATTTTTAAGCCTCTCTTATTGTGACGTCATATTCCGTCAATAGCAAGTTTTGTTTCCATCGCAATCGAAATCAACAACTGACGTCAACAGTATACAAGAAATATTTCCTATTGAAAGGTCGCGATAAAGTTCATCATCCGACTATGCTTTACTCGCATTGGTCAATATTTTAATGAGCTACGAAGAATTCTCTCCCCATTCAACCACGGCCAGATGGGAGAGGAGCGTACATTTTGGCCGTGGTTTGCGACGATGATAACTGCATATATCTTGGTAACTTCACCCCAGATGGTTTGGAGAGGCTATTACAATGTAGATTGTATCTGCCAGCAATAATAGTAGATCACTTAAGTTAAAAACCAATATATTTAATGATGTTAATACTATTATTTGTATGGTAAAATTTCCAAATGTCTCACGGAACATACTAGAAGTTGTAAAAATGAAAAATGATAAGCGTAAATTTTCAGTCATGTTTTATGTGGAGAACCTTGAAGAAATTTCTTATTAACTGTATCAGTGGATATCAACTTTCTAAATATCCAGCTATATGGAGGATGTTTATATTTTACCCTAAGAAATAATCATATTTCAGAAAAAGTATTATTAGTTAAAGATATCACTACAGGTATCTTTGTTACTTGAGTGCCAGATCATATACTAGTATCATATTCAAGATATTGAAACAAAAATACTATTCATTTCTTTTTCAATGCATTCAATATATTACTTTTATTCTTCAAATTAGTGTTTGTGTTTTAACCAGTTACTAAAATATAAGTACCTTTACTTACGTTTCGAACTCGTTTTAATAACAATTTACTAGTAGTTTGCTTTACTCAAATATAGTAACTAGTTACTAGTAGCTAGGTTTATTTACATTTAAAGTTAGTAACTAGTAGCCAGTTACTAGTAGCCAATTTAACTTACTTCTCGTAGCCAGCTACAAGTAGCCAACTTTACCCACTTGTCGTAGCCAGCTACTAGTTGCTAACTTTACATATCTGTGGCTGAACTCGTGTTGCAGTTTTATACATATAATGGAAACGGTTTAATCATGAAAAATAAAGGAACCATATACAGATATGGACTTTTGGTGTTGAATATGGTTTGATATTCATCAGAAAAATATAAGATTGACCGAGGCGAAGCCTTTTTTTGATTCCTTTGATATTTTTCTGTTGAATAACAAAGCATATTCAACTCCAAAAGAGTCCATGTTCTTCTGGATCGATTAAACTGAGGTATATAAAATCCGTATGCAGGTGACAAGGGTGTATTGCTGCATAAGTAAGGGATGTTGACAATTGAAAATTTAAAGTCATAAGTAAAACTTTATCATAAAGCTTTATTTATTGACAATACGTGGTCGATATACTTTCTTCTTTTCATGTAAAAGATTTTGAAAAAATTTTGCTTCATATGAGTACTTAATATAGGTCTGTTAATAACAGAGCGCATTTGGTACCCATGGGATTTCCAATAGATTGTTGGAAGACCTGGTTTCCAAAAACCACATAGATATTGTCAATTAAAAACTTGAGCATGTTTTAATATCAACTTCAGTGTTCTTGTGTGTATAATCAGATTGTTTTTAACAAACGACCAGTGACAAGATAAGTATATTTACGTGTTCTATTTTTATTGAAAAAGCAGCTGCCAGTGATGTTAGAAAGCCTTGTCTTTAACTTATCGTGGGTAATAGTTGTATATAGAGTTGAAAAGTCGTTAATTCTTAAGTTGTAGATTTTGGTGAAATTTGGTGATTTCAAATGTTCTAAAAGTTCCTTAGAATTTTTTAGTATACACATCTGATTTATACCGCTTCTCAAATACATGTTTGTTCAACTGTACTCTTAAAGTTTCTCCTTCACTACTGTTAATATCTTAGTGAGGAGTAAAGGAAGAGGCTTGGTAGAACATTTACTAGAACCCATTAAGTATCTTCGTTTGTAAGGATTTTTATGAAGTTTTGGTATCCAGTGTAGATATGGTAATTCAAATTCATTTTGGATATTTGTATATGAAAAATATTCAATAATGACATATGATACCGGGGTATGATGCTGAAGAATTTCTCCATGGGTATAAATTGGATTACCACTTGTAGAATTAAATCCAATTTCTTTTAAAATGCATTTTATATAATGAGATTTACATACAAAGACAAAATTGTTACCTGCTTTGTCAGCAGGGACGAGTACGTACTGATCATGTAATCTATCAAATTCTATATTTTTCACTTCTTGGTTATTGAATACAGAAAGATTTGTAAAGCGCGATTTACACATATATCTGATAATTTATAATTTAATACATGAACAATTTAGTTCCCTGTACCAATGTTGGCATATTGCTGTATTACGAAATGAAGAAAAAAACTATCCATAAATTACATTATGCTTACAAATGGACGTGACCGAGTTTAGCACTACTATGTACATGTATATATCACTTCATACTGAGAGCGATAGCTCGAGACGAAACTCGACTTTTCTAAACGACTTTTGACATGAACTTTACAATAACCTCTTAATTCAAATGAATCTATTGATGTTACCTCTTTTCCAATCAGATGATTCTGCAGTATGTTGAATTTTGATCCCATTTTATAACTCGTTGTTAAAATATTGAAGTTGGTGAACATGCATGTACATTGTAAACGGCTCTCTGGCTCACCTTGACACGTATCATTAGATTTTTATATTGTGCATTCATTAACAGCATATGTTAAACTCTAAAGCATTTTATTTGAAGATAAAACTTTTTTTTTTTTTACTATTTTTGAAAAATCAAAAAAATATAATATAACATAATTGAGAGCTAATTGAGAGCTAATATCAATCTTTCCACGGTGAAACCGTGTCTAAAGAGACACGCCTTCGGCCTTCATTAAATAACATTTTGATGTAGCATTCCAACTTAATTAACCCTATAACGTGATCGTATCTCTACAGTCAGCTTCTGTTTTAAAAATTGATATTGAAATCTGAACATTCTTTTGAGTATCGAATCAGTATGAATACATAATTACATTAAACAAACGAAAAGCTCATTCCGTTTGTTATAAATTTGCGTTGTTAGTTGGGTATATCTATTCGCGGGAGAAGCAAATGTGACTGACTCCTTAATAATGTATGGTGATATATTGTTTTTGTTTGAATAAGCATTGATTTTGTTAAACCTGCTTCAGTAAATATCTTAAGGAGGAATGTCACACCGACTTTTTATTTCATAGATCTCTGAGTCAACCCTTTTAAATAATGGTTTCAGCATTGAAAGGCCGACATTAGCTCTTTTAAAATTATTTTATATGATTTTTTTTTTTTTCAAAGAAAATTAAAAAAATTATTTACATCCAAACTAGATGATTTCTTGTAAAAATTTTGCTGTAAATGAATGCATCACATGAATACCTAATAAAATATGTAAAGAAAGTCTGGTTAAACTTTTTAATTTTTTTAATAAAAAAATATTTATGAAAATAAAACACATAATTTGTGAATATTTTTTAAACTTGTGGTTAAAATCTTCTTAAAACCAGTCACAACTGGGTAGAACATGTTCATTAATCATATCTATAAAAGAAATTGAAACTTTTAACTCGAAAACGGCTTATTTGGATATAAATAATTTTCTTTGAAAAAATACAAAAAAAAAATAATATAAAATAATTAAGAGCTAATATCGGCCTTTCAATACTGAAACCATTGTTTAAAAAGGATGACTCAAAGATCTATAAAATAAAAAGTTGGTGTGGCATTCCACCTTAATGCCCTGCACTCTATCCAACAAGCCAACGAGCTTCTGTAGGTGTGTATGATTATATATCCAATGGCGTACTTTCCTTTCTGCTAATATGTAGGGTAGTGTCAAGTCACAGATTTACGCTGACGTGTTAAGTGTGGGTAGACAAGGAACTTCCTCTCGATGAATAGGGAAGGGGGGGGGGGGGGTTCGAAGGGAGCATTTTTGCAAACTCAGACATCTACAAATTCAATTTGACCAGTGAAAATAATATGGAGACGTATTTACAGTTTATATCGTAATGCGAGGACCGCTGAACAAATCTGAGAACTCTTAACTGATCCTTTTACTCTGCTTACAAAATATTAAAACTTCCCTACTGAGTGAATAATCAAAATTTGAACAATATGTTGAATTTCCTCTTAATTCTAAGAATATAATTCAAGTTATCAATTTCGTTTCCTGCACTTATTATGGACTCCTGTTGCTTTCGATGAAATTTTTGATACAGAATTCATATTTATAACACTTGAACTTTCTCTTTAAAAATTTCCAGTTATGGGAATAGTCTAGTCCTTCAGTATAAAGCAAAATCGGAAAGGCATAAAAGTGTAGATTGCTAATACTGCTTTATTGGCATTTGCAACAAAATAAGTTAATAGGTACGATTTGTATTAACAAATTTTAACAAAATTCTCCTTTATTCAATCAAATCTTTATTCCTGAGAAAATGATTTGTAGGCTATAGGCTACAGCCTTTTTGCCTATATGGAATATATGCCACTGATCTCTTATATATTTATCAAGTCTGGAATAATATACAAACCACTCTACCACGATTATTGCAGACATCAAGAACATGCCGCGGACTTTATTCTCCAATAAATCACGAACGTCATCAAAAAATTATCAGATCAGAAACAAGTATCAAATCTGTACAGCTGAAATAAATATTTGATTCTAAAAATGAAATACTTGTTCAGACCACATCAATGTGTCGTCTTTTACAGTCTGAACACTGTAAATTGCATCAAATTGCTGATGAATGTCGGTTTTTATAGCCAAGCGCGGGGCTATTCCACGGACCTCCCTACACATCTAAACACCAATAAAGCAGTTAAACAGGAACATTCATTAAAATTAATCAATACATATATTGAACAAATTTGAAATTTAAAAAGGCTATTTCTAATGCAACGAAATCTCAAATTGTCTGCATTCCATACACATGTAAGCAAACAAATTTTCCCTCTGGTGTTAAATGGAACAGCGTAATCGAGACATGGTGACCTATTTCGTTTCTCTATAGAGGAAACGATCAGGCGTATTTTAGCGATCTTCATGATCTTTGTAGAATAGAAATCTCGAAATGTTGTTTGAAATATAAAAGCCTCGGCTTTTATCTTTCAAACAACATTTCTCGACTTCGGAGATTATCCTGCAACATTCACGAAAACGCAGACTTTATTTCTTAACTATGTACCTAGGAAAGTTTTGCATTGCAAATTTGGGGGGAAATAACCAAAGCTGCCTTTCTGACAATTCGAAAATAATTATTTTTTTAGATAGATATGGATTCATTGGGAGGGAGTCAATTTTTTCAAAATTTGAATCAAACAAGAAATATTTCTTGGTTTTGTCAATTTCACTATCGAAATTTAAATATATATTTTCTATCTTTTTGTAGGGAAACCAAAATCAGGACGGATCCAACATTTTCAATGGAACTTTTGTCATTTATAACGGAAGAACGAGTAATTCCACATACTAGTATCGCTAAAAGAGAGTAGACTGCTCAACTTTTAATCTTTATTCATTCAAATTATGGTTAGTTTCTAATATTATTTCTCGTTTTCTACCTGCCTGATATGGTTTCAAACCTTTGCAAGAGATTAGTTATCAACTTCATTCGCATATAGGAGAATCCAGGAGAGGGTGAAGAAAGGGGGGGGGGGGGGTCCAGGCACCCCCTATAGAATTTCAGTTTTATTAAAACACCTGTGTCACTCAGGTGACCTATTGCCAGCCGTTTTGTCCGTTGCCGTCCGTCGTGCGTCGGTCATTATAACATTTGAACATTTTCAGCTTTTTGCTTGAACCATTGAACCAGTTTTTAGCTTGCAGCATCGAAGGGGTACAAAAATTATAAATTTCATGGTCCTCCAGGGCATGAGGGAAAGGGGCTACAACCATCATAAAGAGTGCATTCTTCTTTAAGTATTCGGATTTTTTTTTCTCTTAGCAATGATCAAGATTAAATATTGGTCGAAGAATTTATCAAAATAAATAGCTGTCTGGTGATAAATAGTTCTTCATGTCTCATGTTGTCTGACAACATGAACAACTATTAATCAAAAATGGCGCCCAAATGATACACTACACGATTGACAAGATTTGAGAATGAGGGTGAAATACAGTTATTTATATCATATACTAGTATGAGAGTGATGTTACTAAACATCAATTTCTTTCGTCCGCTTTAGCAAAAATTAACCTTCTACATTTATTAAAAAAAGAAATCCTATTTCGTTGGGGGGGGGGGGGTGTTGTGGCTAACTTTTTTTCAAGGCCAACTTCCTTTCCCTTACATTTTTTCCATATAATACTACATATCCTTGATATCATTATACTATGGTAAGAAGTGAGGGGGCCAACCAACCTTTCAGTAGACATTTTCAATAGTAATTTTTTTGGGAAAAAAGTGGGACAGCCCCCCCCCCCTGTTGCTACGTCCCTGTATCATATCGTATCGACATAGGAATGGAAATTACCATTGTTACTTGACAGCACGTCGTCGATGTATCTAAATGTCGAGTTGAAGACCACAAGTGTTCTCTTTTCACGGATAAGATTTTGGACAAATTCTGCTTCATTTGAATACAAAAATAGGTCTGATAATGATTGGGCGTAATTTGTTGGAAGACCTGGTCTCCAAAAACTACGTACACTATGTAAATATTGTCAATCAGAAACTGAATCAGAAACTGAAGCATTTTTTGACGTCCATTTCAGAGTACTTACAACCAGAAAGTTTTTTAACAAAATAATTTTGTTAATAAAATAAACAAAACGATATCTTTTGAAAGAATGCATTTCAATAGGTGTAATAATAAATATTGTTAAGTAAAAGAATTTTTAAAATGTATATTTTCTTTATTCAGCAAATTATTCAATCTGTTGACAAGGGCAAGAAATCCATCTTAAGTATCTTCATTTTAGTTATTTTCTTTACTGAACGTCTAACTTAAAATATTTTCCCTGATACTCACATTCAAAAGAATCTGATCTATAGGTAACAAGGAACTTTCAGCATCAAAAGTATGTATTTGGACCAGTTTTTACATAATTTTTATAAATAAATACTGTTTACAAAAATTGTAGATTTTTTAAAGTTGACACATAAACTTCTGTTTATTTAAGTCTCCCATCTTAAATACTTTAGCAACCTATATATTTTTTGCAAAAATTGGTAAATTTAAACTACATGTATATTAATTGAAAGTAAATGCAATTTTTCAAATTTTGAACCATTAAAGTTTTAAGATGGACATCATCGAGAGCTGCTTTTTCAATAAAAATAGAACTCGAAAATTTACTTACCTTGTCATTAGTCATTTGAAAATTATTTTGCTAAAACATTCCGATTGTACACACAAGTACTCTGAAGTTGACATTCAAAGGTTGCTTGAGTTTCTAATTGGCAATTTCTATGTTGTTTTTGGAGACCAGTACTTCCAACAATCTATTTGAATTCCCATGCATGGGAGCCCATTCCGAGCCGTGAATAGCAGATTTATTTTATATTCATATGAAGCAGAATCTGTCAACATATGCGTGAAAAGAAGAAAACACTTCAGGTGGCCTTCAACTCCACATTTAGATATATCGACGACGTATTGTCAATCAGCAATGGTTATTTCCATTCTTAAGTCGACACGATATAAAATGTATCCCGGTGAGCTTGAGATAAAATATACCATAGAGTCTGACAAATCTGTTTTATATGTGAATATTTTACTTGAAAAAGACGTTAACGGTAATCTAACAGCCAAACTGTATATAGTAGACGTGATGACTTTAAATTTTCAATCGTCAACTTCCAGTACATATGCAGCATCACAAGCATAGGGAGTATATCTTTCAGTTGATTTGATACGCAAGAACATGCTCTACGTATGTATACAATTTCTAAAACAAGGTAGGTTATTGACAAACACGTTGATGAAACACGAATATAAGCAGTCTCATTTAAAGTAATAATTTCGTAAGTTCTATGGTGATAATGATCTTGTCAGCAAATACAATTTTTCATTGAATCAAATGCTGACTGACGTTTTTCAGTACTAATTGCTAGTCCATTATTTACACACTGATGAACGAGTGATTTTCCCGTTATTTCCCAATCATCACAGGGAGCACACGGTGGATGTGACCCGTCGGCAGGGGATTCTCACTCCTCCATGGCACCTTATCCCCCTTCTGTTGTTTCAGAGGTCCGTGTTTGCTCTGCTCCTATTTTGTATTGTTTTATGGAATTTTTTTTAGCTTGAATGTTGATTGTTGTCTCCATGTGTTTCACTCCTCCGTCTTTCAATTTAAACACTGACAAAGATTATTATTTTTTATAGTTGAAGTAAAATACAGCATTATACTTTTGCTGGATATTTTTCTCACGTTCGAATTTATGAAATAAAATGTTTGTCCTAATAAACTTGCCAACCAGAAAAACTTGATTGCATTAGGGAATTGCTGACAATAAATATCCCTTGACCCCGCGCATGATGCGTTCGAAGGAAAACAACGTCATTTTCACGTAGTTCTAAAACTATAGTCGCGGAGACACTCGCTCTCTCTACATGAGGACGTACACTAGATTCAGAAGTTGTGATAGTTTTGACCTCCGAGTTATGCATTAATTCGTAGTGCCCTGATCTTTCAGAGTTCATTGTCCACGAGAAGGCAAAGACGCCGGTGGAAGGAGATGTGAAGATTCCCGTGTGTCCATTGTAGGCATTGTCTAAATTAAAAGAAAATGTCGGTACATTTTTATCAATATTAGTGAAAGATATAGAGGATATTCCATGTTTTGTAGTTGAATATGGAATTTATTTCACGAGTGGGACGGGAATTTTTGATATTTTCACGAGTGCGAAGCACGAGTAAAAATATTTTTAAAAATCCTGTCTCACGAGTGTATTCAACTACATGTACAAAACATTGAGTTTTCTGTTTATAACATTTTTAAAAAGTTTCTTTGATTTTTCCTTTGCCTCTGTCTTTTTGTAATACCGTCATAGGCTACATGAGGTCATACCCGTAGTTCAGCGGTTGAGACGTCATAGCTAAGTGAGGTAAAAACATTGTAAACATGGATTTATCAATGTATTTGGGTAATTTTTAGTTTTTTTTCTCTGTCAGAATGATTTATTTATTTCTTTCTATCTTATATCAGGTCAAGGTAGAGTTTTTACAACACTCTCCGTTATGGGAAGGAAAATCGAGAGTTTTCACACTGAGACAGGATATCATTTTGATATCCTTTCACACTGTGACAGAATATCATTTTATTCAATGAATAAATTACAGTATTTCACTGGTAAAAATGTAATAAAACGTAATTATTAAACATTGGATTATTATTTATTTTATTTTTAAGATTTAGATGAACTTCTATTACGAAGAAAACTGTTGATGTGGTCTTCGACATTCAGATATCTGCAAAGTGAGCAATTCCATTAAATGCTTATATTTATAGTTTTGAACCTCTACAGTGTCTGCAATAAAAAAAATTCTAAAGATCTAATAGTGTTAACTTTGCAAATGCTTACGTGTGTTTGTGATCACGTTATCAAAGACAACGGTCTGGGAATGGCCTGTACCCCCTCTGTCCCTACTTAAGATGCTGGAAAACGCACACAAACTTGTCCTTCCTTAAACATAAACAAGAGGCCCACGGGCCTTATAGGTCACCTGAGTATTGTGTAACAACTTTCAAACAATTAAATTTGGTTCATGTTTTAAACCAGAGGCCATGAAATTCACAATTCACAATTTTGAAAGAGGCACCATTGCTTATCATAATTAAAAAACTTAGCATGCTTACTCTACTTGTTCAATACCCAGAGGTAGATCAGAGTTACAAAGAGAAAATGTTCTTCCACTTTCTATCCAGTTGTGCACCTCACCCCAAAAGAACCACTGACCCTGGGGCCACATATTTCAAAATTTTGCAAATTTTATCGTAAAATGGTCGATTAATACCAAAGAGCAGATTTCAAAGCATTAATTTGTTTTCAGACTATGTAACTCCCACCCCCCCCCCCCTTGACCCAGGAGGGGGGGGGGCATAAAAAATAATCATTTTGCTAGATGCACCTTTCTTCAGCATAAATATATATATACTTGGATCATTAGCATAAACCCAAAAGCAAAGAAAAATATTTTCAAAGAATTAATGTATTTTTACTGAATAATCAAAAGAGCCCTAACACCTGAACCCCTGATTCTGGGGCAATAAAATTCACAATTTTTGAAAAGGCACTTTTGCTCATCATAACTTTGTGCTTAATTAGTTTATTTAATACTCAGAAGCAGAGAAGATTTTCAAAGAATAAATGCATTTTCACTATATAATCAATAGAGCCCGCCCTAACACTAGAACCCCTGACCCTGGGGCCATAAAATTCACAAATCTGGAAGAGACACTCTTGCTCATCATAACTATGTACTTAGTTAGTTTATTTAAAACCCTGAAGCAGAGAAGATTTTCAAAGAATAAATGCATTTTCACTATATAATCTATAGAGCCCCGCCCGAACACTAGAACCCCTGACCCTGGGGCTATGAAATTTACAATTTTGGAAAAGGCACTCTTGCTCATCATAACTTTGTGCTTAATTAGTTTATTTAATACTCAGAAGCAGAGAAGAAGATTTTCAAAGAATAAATGCATTTTTAGTATATAATCTATAGAGCCCCGCCCTAACACCAGAACCCCTGACCCTGGGGCCATAAAATTCACAAATCTGGATGAGGCACTCTTGCTCATCATAATTATGTATTCAGTTAGTTCATTTAAAACCCAGAAGCAGAGAAGAAGATTTTCAAAGAATAAATGCATTTTCACTATATAATCAATAGAGCCCCGCCCTAACACTGGAACTCCTGACCCTAGGGCTATAAATTTACAATTTTGGAAAAGGCACTCTTGCTCATCATAACTTTGTGCTTAATTATTTTATTTTATTTAGTACTCAGAAGCAGAGAGGAAGATTTTCAAAGAATAATTAATGCATTTTCACTATATAATCTATAGAGCCCCGCCCTAACACCAGAACCCCTGACCCTGGGGCCATAAAATCTGGAAGAGGCACTCTTGCTCATCATAACTATGTACTTAGTTAGTTTATCTAATACCCAGAAGCAGAGAAGAAGATTTTCAAAGAAATAATGCATTTTCACTATATACTCTATATAGCCCCGCCCTAGCACTAGAACCCCTGACCCTGGGGCCATGAATTTCACAATTTTGGTAGAGGACTCAATGCTTATTACATTCATGCTAACAGTTTGCCTGCTTGATGTCCAGGAGTAAAGAAGATTTTTTAATATTGCAATAATTTTAGTGGTTTTGGCCCCACCCCTCAGGCCCCAGGGGGGGCCGGGACCATGAAATTCACAATTTTTGTTCCCCTTCACCCATAGATGCTGCATACCAAATTTGGTTGAAATTGGTTCAGTGGTTTCAGAGAAGAAGCTGAAAATGTTCAAATGTTAACACACGACGCACGACACACGACGCACGACGACGGACGAAAACAGATGGCAATAGGTCACCTGAGTTACTCAGGTGACCTAAAAAAAACTTAAGTCTTTTTATTGATGTACTTTTTAAAAAAAATATTATATTAATTGATATAATGTACAAATCATGACTTACCATTAATTTCGGCGTTGAAATTCTGACTTTCATTTTGACTACCGCTGCTCTTTTTTACCCGCTTAAATACTTGTACACCTGGTTTACGTTGCAATTGAATTTCTTTTTCCAACATCTGTAATTTAAATTTCTCTTCCCAGTGTTCACAAACACATTTCTTATCTTTTCCTTGTCGACTCTTTTCCTCTATTTGTTCTACTCTCTCTTCCAGTGCTTTCATCTCCTCTTCCAGTTTTAACAAGGCATCAGTCTGTCTTACATTGACTGCATTTTTCCAATTCAATCTTTCAGAACCATTTGAGCGTGGTGTATTTACAGTTTGTACACCAGGATCCAGCGCCGAAATGGCAAGAATGAAATAAAAACAAAAATCAAAGACATTTCTTCCCAATATTGCCATAATCAAGTAGGTGTCAAGCTCGATGAGTGTTGCTTCCAACTTGATTTACACACAAACGTTAATGCATGTAAGCCTTCCAAGTAATGTATAGTTTCAGATTCAAAAACCTTGCATCTTAAGAGTTACCGGTGAATATTGTTAAGCGTATTTTGCACACGACCTACAGATGCATAAATTACTCAAGTTGTATACAACTATGATGTCAGCACATGGTGTCCTTGACCTTTCAAATCAAATAAAAGTTGTACTCTACAAGGTAAAAAAAATCTAGCTTTCTAAAAACAACAAATTTACTTTTAATCGATTCGATCAAAAATTAAAAACAGTAAAAAAAAAAAAAGTAAGACCTTTTGTCTTTCACTTACTTTTGAATTGTTCTAAATAAAACTGAAAAACAGTATGGTACTGCCCATTACTCCATAATCGAAGATAATCCACCATAAGGGGAAGTGGAAGTAATGTGTCAAGTAGAAGAAATATCTTTAAACCCTACTATTAATATACAGCAATGCATGTCTTTGAATTCAATGATACGTGTTTCAAATATTTTTCTACCATATCTATGCACTGGTTTGATAATGTAATGAAATTTTAAGCATAAGGTCGCCTTTACTTGCATTATACCATGAGGTAAGTGAAATATGTGAAGACAACAAAGTATTCAAGGTCAAAAGTTCATTAAATATTACAAAATAGGAGCGGAGCAAACACGGAGCTCCAAAACATCAGAGATGGGATCAGATGCCATGAAGGAGTTAGAATATCCTGCAGACCGGTCTCACCCGCCGTGTACTCCTTGTCCTGTTCGGAAAAAACCGGGAAAATCCGTGGACAAAACAATATGTTCATAATGGCCTTACACTCAGGGTTAGTCAGTCAGCATTTGACCTAAAGATAAATTACATCAATTTTTGTATCAACCATGGAACTTACGAAATATAGTCTTTAAGAGACTGTTGATTTTCTTGCTTCATCAACTTGTTTGTCAACCTACCTCGTTTTAGAAATTGTTCATACGTAGAGGTGCTCTTCTGTATCGATTACACTGAGAGACATAAACTCAGTATGCAGGTGACGAAGGTATATTGTGCATAAGTAAGGGATCGATGTTGATGATAAAAAAGTTAAAGTGATGACGTTTATTTATCATAAAGCAATGTTAATTGACAATATGTTGTCGATATATCTAAATGTGGAGTTGAAGGCTACAGTAAGTTTTTTCTTCTTTTCATGTTAAAGATTTGGAATAAACTCTGTTTCATATGAGTACAAAAGTGGGTCTGCTAAGAACGGGGTGCAATTGGTACCCGTGGGATTTCCAGTAGATTGTTGGAAGACCTGGCTTGGGGGCCATAAAACTTAGGCGAGCTCACTTTTGATCTCAGTCTCACTTTTCCGCTATAAATTCCTTTGGAAAAAGTTAGACTGAGATCAAAAGTGAGCTCGTCTGTTTTATGGCCCCCAGGCCTGGTCTCCAAAAACTACATCGATAGTGTCAATTAAAAACTCGAACATATTTTAAAATTAACTTCAGAGTACTTTTGTGTATATAATCAGATTATTTTTTTAACAAATGATCAATGACAAGGCAAATATATATTTACGAGTTACATTTTTTTTTTTACTGAAAAAGCAGCTGTCAATTATGCCAGAAAGCCTGGTCTTTGATTGATCGTGGGAATAGTTGAATATAATGTTGAAAAGTCTTAAGTTTTTATGTTCTTGATTTTGGTAAAGTTTTGTAATTTAGAATGTTCCAAAAGTTCCTTGAAATTTTTTAGTATTCACGTCTGATTTACGCCACTTCTCGAATATATTGTTGTACTCTTGAAGTCTCTCCTTCACTACTATTAATATTTAAGTGAGGAGTAAAGAAAAAGGCTTGGTAGAAATTTACTAGAACCCGCCATGCGTCTTTGTTTATCAGGATTTTCATGAAGTTTTGGAATCCAATAAAGATATGGTAATTCAAATTCATTTTGGTTGTTTGGTATATTAAAAAAATATTCAAAGTATCCTTTAATAAAAATATTCTTGTAGAATTAATTCCAAGTTCCTCTAAAATACATTATATATAACGAGCTTTACATTCAAAGACAATGTTGTTATAAATGCTTTGTCAGTAGGGACCAATACGTACGGATCAAGTTATCTATCAAATTCTTTTTTCCACTTCTTGGTCATGGAATACAGAAGGATCTGCAATGCGCGAATTAAACATACATCTGATACATTTAAAGAAGATGGGGGATAAGGCGGACGAAGTGCCTATATTGCGACAGATATGAAGTAAAAAATTAAATCCCAATTTTGCTATTTCATCTAATATTAAAATACTTAATGTAAAATCTCTATAATTTACAAAAATCTCACAAAGGCTGAAATTATTTGCCTATGAAAAAGCATACAAGCACTAAAAAGAACAAAAAAGATCATTTTCTTGTGCTTTAACAAAAAAATTCAATATGAGTGGGTCTTCGCTCCATCTTTTTGAAAGATAATCCTAAAAGTTTGCATTAAAACATACATTTTTTAGTTTACAAAAACATGGAACAAGGACCCACTATACCTTAAAGTACACTTTAATGACAAACATTCGTATCTTTCCGAGAAATACTTCAAGTTCATTAAGTCAAGGTCATATCACAAACATTATGTACCCAAATACATCATTTATAAGCCAAGTAGCGAAGTGTTTAGGGCGTTAATTTCAAAGCAGTATGGTACTTCGGACTTTCATTACTAGAGTTCGAATCTCGCGAATACCATTTATTTATTTATTTATAAAAGAATAACTTTTTCCGAGATTTATTTCTCTCTCATAGTAGGTTTGTTTCTCATAATTTCAATAATGAGAACTTAATTTGAATACTTAATTCACATGCTGAATAAGATTTCTTTATATTTCTATTTCTGATTTTTTTTTCTCTGTGATAACTCTTTGAAAGTTAGCGGTGTTGATTTCTTGATAATTCCGCCGGAATGTAAATTAGGCAGGTCGATAGGTCAGGAGCTAAGGAGGCCTAATATGCATGCAAATCTCGTGCGAAACTGTATCTGTGTCTGATACTATATAAGGAGGCCAAATATGCATGTAAATCTCGTGCGACTGCCTTTGTGTTTGACGGCAGTGGACGAGGACTATTGAAATTGGCATGGGAGGCCTCGTGTAAATTAAATCTATGTCTATATCTTTAAAATCTAAATCTATAATTTTATTTCACAATGAAATGGAAATATAAGGAATCACTGTCTAGTTAGTATAGTACTTCGCCCGTTATGCATATTATCCTGTTTACCACTATCGTTGATGCCCTGGCATACTTATACACTAACTAGACAGCGATTCCTTACATTTATCTGAAGATACAGGCAATCTGCACGCCTTGTCTCCACATCTTCTTTCATACATGAACAGGTTCCCTGTACCAATGTTGGCAATATTGTCATATAACGAAATGAAGAAAAAATACCCATAAATGACATTATGCTTACAAGTGGACGATAACGAGTTTAGCACTAATATGTACATGTATATCACTTCTTACTGAGAGCGATAGCTCGAGACGAAACCCGACTTTTCTAAACGATTTTTGACATGACCTTCATAATAACCTCACTAATTCAAATTAATCTATTGATACAAGTAACAGCTTTTTAAAAAGCTTGCCTGACTAAATCAATCAATTTATCTGCATGAAGAGTGATGGCCCTTTTGAGCAATACTTTGTGTGTTTAAAAAATATCCTAACTTTATATTTTGAGAACCTTATGTAATTGAAAACTTAATTTTACTGAACTTGTAGAAATATCATCTCTACACTGCATACTAAAGAACTTTGTAGTTGAAGAGGAGGGGGGGGGGGGGTCTGAAAGTGGAGTGATCTGCCCTTGAATCTAAATTGATTTCAAGGTACATTGTAACACCTATTATAAAATCTGTTATCAAATCACGCATTGTGAACATTTTAAAAGATGGATATAATTAAAAACACATTTTGTTGGAGTGTATTTTCTGCTTTAAAGTAAACAGTAGTAATGTGTGTTCATTGTTTTTTCCTTAAAAGGGGTGGGGGATGACACTATCATAATATGATACATGATATATTGAGAATGAAATAAATAAATTCAATAGTTAGGCTTTGTAGAAAGAAATATCCAAGATGATTCACTACTTTCTTATTTTATTGTGTGCATCTGAACAAAGACATAATAGATCATGCATCTGGAGACGATGGCTTGAACTGCATTGTTTGTTATTATTGGACTCGTCCATTTATGGAATAAACCAACCGCGGGATTGGTAAACAAAACATGATTTCTTTAGTGTTACATGCCCATATACCATGTATACTGATGTATACGATATGTTGTTTTAAAGAATGGTATAAAACTTGTAGATAGAATTTCTGAAGCATTAAAAGGACAAACTTTATTTGATTCCATGTAAGTTAGCACACCCATTCATACAATAGAACAATCCAAGGTAGCTTACTAGTGACATTTGGCGCGAAAAGAGCGATTCACCCCTTTCGTAGAATATAAATGGACTGATCCAGTAGTATAGAAATGCCGAAAAAAGGATACACGGACATGTTGAAACGGCAAATCATATGGAATAATCTGTTCCATGCAAAAAGATTAAAGGAAGTAAACACTGCAGTATTTCGCATCAGTAATATGTTTCTTTTTTCTGAAAACTGTTTCTTTTAAAATGCAGGTAAAGAATTCCAATGTAAATCAGCTTTCACAAAATCTAGCTCTTTAGATATGGTACGTCGCACATTTTCGGATCTTGGAAATATCAATCCTTATACTGCCTGACGCCGTGACGTCAGGCAATTACCTCTTTTCCAATCATATGATTCTGCAGTATGTTGAAATTTGATCCCATGGATTTTCTTACTCGCTGTTAAAATGCTGAAGTTGGTGAACATGCATGTACATTGTAAACGGCTCTCTGGCTCATCTTGACACGTATCATTAAATTTTTATATTGTGCATTCATTAACAGCATATGTTAAACTCTAAAGCATTTTATTTGAAGATAAAACTTTTTTTTTTTTACTTTTTTTGAAAAATCAAAAAATAT